TCTGATGCAGGCTGGTGTGTGTACGGGCTTTTATTTTACACCAGCAAATCAGCACTGAAACACCTGATATAACTAATCAGCTAATTATCAACCATTAGTGTGATTTAGCTCAAAACAGTCCCTGTGTCCCCAAAATACCCACTCAAAAATGGATGCTGTAAATTAAAGAAGGCAAAAAAGGTGATTTATCACTCAGGAAATCTTAATATTGCCCCTACCAGCTCCCGACAAAATGAGCACAATCTCAGTTATTAAAAATCTACCCCGAGGCTCTGAATCTAGTTTACTTTCTTTATTCTCTCTTATTTCAGGAGCTCATAAACCTGAGAGGATGTAGAAATGCAGATGAGCTTCCTCAGAAAGCCCTTCTAATGCTGAAACAAAGCCCCGGATTCAGCTGAGGTCCGCAAACACACAGAGGACAGGAAAAGAGAGGGAATGGAGAAAGAGTGGGTGCAGCAGGTAGAAGGAGGAATAGAAAGAATAATGAGAGAGGAGAGGAGAGAAGAGGAGAGGAGAGGAGAGCAAAGATGGAATGAAGGACAATGGGGAAAGAGGAGAGGAAGGGGGGCAGGAGAGGACAAAGCCAAGGGGAAGAGAGAAGACGAGAGAGAAGGAGAGAGGTTACAGATCAGATAAATAAAAGAGAAACATAATAATTTAACAGCTGAAGAAAAGATACAGACTATTTTATGTGTTTGTCATAAGATAACAACCCACAATTGCTGACTTAGGCTTTAGGGAAAACACTTAAAAGTTAAAAAAGAAAAATAAATTAGATCATTAAATGTATTAGACCAGTGTTTATCATTTTAGCCGTCTAATAATATTGTTTTCATGAAAAATTTATGAGGATGATTTTTAAAGAAAACATGCAGAGAAATTAAAAATGTACCATATGCATTTTCATTTTATGATAAATGATCATAAAATGGGAAAAAATACATTTTCCCTTACTCACTAAAATTAGTAGCCCCTGATACACAAAGATGGAACATGGTAAAACAGACTGGCCTATTGGGTTGCCAGATGTGTCGGGCTACCCTTGGTGACTTATTGATCTGCTCAGTACAGCCAGAGAGGGGAGGAAGGAGCAATTCCTTGGCGCCCCATGTGTGTGGGTGGAGGCTGGTGGGGGGAATGGATTGCAGTCTGACCTTTGAGAAACCATGTGGTGTGTGTGTGTATGTACATTGGTAGCATGGTGTGGATCTGGAGTTATGCTTATGTGTCTGCATATGTGTGTGGGGGCAATGTAGCTGGTCAGTGTCCTGTGTGTTTGTGTGTGTTGGTGGTCCAAAGCACCACACAAGCATAAATAAATATTTCCCATTTTGTGGATGTACTTTGCAGCTAGGACCCAAGTCCTGAGTGTCCCAGTGCAATAGCAGTGTCAGTGCTGCACACACACACACACACACACACACACACACACACACACACACACACACACACACACACACACACACACACACACACACACACACACACACACACATATATATACAAGGTTGCAACAGTAATAAAATGTTACATGTCCAAATTAATACATGTCTTTATTGATTTTCAAATCAAAGTGTAATTAGTCCAAAAACTAGCTTTAGTTGTATTGGAATACTACAAAATAAAGCAGAAAGTGCATATATTCAAATTCATACAAACATACATTTCACATTCATACCAATTAATTAATAAACACAAATAAATACCTGCCATCCAACAAGTAATTTCAGTTTGGTGTTAATTTAAATGTAATATAAAAATATTACCATTTTATATACAAAAAGGAATTATTCATGAAACTTGTCAGGGACTTGTAATCGTCAATGACATGTATATGTGTTACCACAATTTAGGAACTCTTACTTTAAAGCAGTTATTTTCTTTCTGGGTCTGTTGTGTATGCCATTTTTTTTGTTACCCAGCACTTAATGACCAATTAAAACAGTTGATTGCACATTTAAATCATCTTGTCTGGTTTCTTAAATCTAAACTTGAGGTGGAATTTTGGGTGAAAACAAAAACCTGAGTACAATGTGGCTCTCCAGAACCTGGAAGAACGACCGCTGTTTTAAGGGGATCCTGTGTCAGACTGAATGGCACTTTCTGAGTGAGGACCCTAAATCTGGGTCAGTACCAGCACAGACACAGAGGATCTGCATTCTCTCCTTTAAAATAGAAGCCAGAATTGAAGTAGGCAAACATGGACCCGTTAGTATCATACACAGTGGACTGTATGAGAGTCATGTTGTCTGCATTATAAAAAGAGATGCACTTTCTCTCACAGTCGAGGTACGTCCCGATGGTGCGTGGTCTGACACGCAGGTCAAGTGGGATTTCCCTCAGGGTTTTGAACCTGTGTTTTCCAAATGCCCCGTTCAGCCTGCAGATGGCCTTTCTGCTGCTGTCTTGCTCTGCATCCGCCCCCAGATCTGCATCCACCCCCAGGCTCCAGTGCATCTTCTCCCCCACGGTCACCTCCCAGTAGTGTTGCCCAGACTGAAACCCCATGCTGCTCCACGTGGGAGACATGGAAAAGTCTGCAGCTTTTCCAAACAACAGCATTTTCTTGGATGCCAGGTCTATGTGTCTAACACTCGACTTGTCAGATGACACTCTTTGAAGTGGATCCATTCTGTCCTCCACTGTCAAACGGTCTGGAACTAATATAAAAACACATGAATAAAACAAGAAAACATTTCTTAAATTAATGATTAATTAATGACATGCAATAATAAATATTTCTGATAATCTTAACATGAGAACTTAAAAAAATCAGTGATGTCAGCACTTAGTCTTTACCATACATTTTTGGTTCCATGCAAGTTACATTAAATTCAGGGAACATGGTTACTTGGACACATTGTAAGCACGCACAGCTGGTCCTCTGTAAACAGCTCGGCTCAGAGCTTACCTGGTTTGATGACCCGGAGCATCTCCTTCCACACAAAGAACTGCAGGTGAGATTCGTAGGGACCCAGGTAAAGAGAACGCGGGGAGTCAAGGATCACATGGTGCCTAGCCTCCTCAGACTTGAACCTACGGCAATGGAAAACACCAAATGAAGATATTTAGTGAAGATTTTAACATTGATTGGAAAAATACGGGACGAAAATGGAATTCTTAAAAAAACTACCTGAGATGTACAAGGAGACCTTTGCAGTCTACAGGTTTAAGATTTTTAAGAACAGTTTTGCACATTTTTGCCAGGAGGAATTTGTTGATCCAACTCTGGACACCACACTAATACTTTCTTGCTGTGCAGAGTGAGCGTACTGTCACTATGCGCTTGTGAGCCTGCAACGTGCAGCTCAATAGAACTGAACATTCTTTAATCATGAAACCCCAAGTGAGTGATAGTCCAGAGACCAGGTGGGTGGACATGGTCAAGAGCATGATGAGTTTCAGCAAGTTAATTATCAACACTGATTACCTCTCACCTTCCTCCTACTCTTCCTCATCATCATGTGAGTGAATGAAAGTATAGGGGATGACTTTATTTTACATTTATTGCATGTTTGTTGCATTATTACATATGTATATATTACATACATAACACATATTTGTAAAATTACAATAACTATGGTTATGTTTGTTTAAATTCCTTACTTTATCAGTAAGCAAGGTATTCTCAGAATCCCCATTTGCAAAGACCTCTAGAACAGAGCCCTTGAGAATGGTGAGGTCTTGTATGTGTGGTTAAAGACACATCAAAGTTACACAATCTTCTGAATGGGAAGGTGCAGTGAGGAGAAGAAGTCTGAGAGAGCCAATGAAATGAAGATTCATGCATATGTACAAGCAATTTTCCAAGAGGAGCATCACTGCCATCCTTCAGATGATCTGTTGAACTGGGGACCTCACTCACAGTGGGCATTAAAGATCCCGTGGCACTTTTTGAAAAGAGAAAGGTTTTTAACCCTGATGTCCTAGTCAAATTCCCATAAGACTGATTCTCTACATCTGGCCACATAAACCAACCCAATGTCTGATTGGCTACGTAATCCCTTGCAGTCCCTTTCCATGTTGACTCCCTAGTTGGTCACTGCAGAAGAAGGAATCTCAGTTGACCTAACCTGGCTAAAGAAGGGATCAGGGCTCATGGTGAGACAACTTATCCAAGTAAACAAAGTACTCACTTTCCCCCTGAGTTTTGGGTCTTCTGTTCACCTGTTCCATTACCCCCGGCCCTCAGTTCATCAACAACAGGGGAACCTGAGTCAATCCACCACTACAAAGAAAGCAAAAAGTGAGTCTTTCAGACTAAGAACCACAGGTGAGCACGCTAGCTCAGAGACCAATCATACTTAATTTGATGAAATGTTCTTAACAAAAGAACAAAGGGTCCACAAGCACCTTACTGAGCATGTCAAAGCTGATTGAAAAACTCAATCAAGAAATCAACGTCTGAGGATGAATTAAAAAAAAAAAAAAAAAACAAGCAGAGTACTTTGGCTTTGTTGCTTATTCCCTTGGTAACAATTAAAGTAAGTCTGAAGTATTCGACATTTTCTGAGCAAAACACCCTTACAACCCTTTCATATATCTTCAAATGATGAAAATAAGAATTAAGGGGCTTTGATGTTGAGCGAGCAAAAGCTGGCTTTAACACTCATCAAAGACCCAATTAGACGAACAGTCTTATCTCAGTTCAAATTACACTTTGACACAAGTCAAACTCACCTCTCCCTGAATTTCTTCACCATAGACCATGTTTCTGTGTGCACACCTGTTGAACCAAGTGTGGTTCCATCAGGTGGTGAAAATGCCACAGGTGTTTGGTTGGTTTGCTGTGCCAAATATGTAAGCCATTTCATGGCATTAAGGAAAATATGTTACATTAAAGACATTCTTATCTTATCTAGAGAAGCTCAAAGTGCATAAGACAGGGACAATAGTGCTGACATTCCTTCAGAAGGTAATCCCTTGAAATTAAGCTGGTATACAACACAGCAAGGTTTCATCCAGGATTTGAACTGGTACCTCTCACACCCACAGCGAGAACCATACCATACATTTGAACCCGGGACCTCTCGCACCCAAAGCGAGAATCATACCCCTAAACCAACGAGCCACTGCATATGGTCTTGGCGCATCTTCCCTGGGGTTCTTTGATACCAGGCAAGTATGTACAGACAATTCATCCAACAATGGATGATGGTAATGATTTCCAATCACAACCTAAGGATTGTGCATAACAGAGAAAGCGTAATGCCCTCTTCACCTGTTGGAATCGGTCCAGTTCCATGATGTCCAGACCTGAGCGCAGCATCCTCTCCTTCTCCAGCCGGGGGGTGAGGGCCTGTGTCATGGCCGCCAGTTTCTCCTGCATGGGCGCCAATGCCTTCATCTCCTGCTCCTTCACCTCTTTCTTCAGCTCCTTCTCCCTCACCCTCAGAAAGTTATGCAACTTCTTGAACTGATCAAAGATCTCATCCATCATCTTGGAGGATCTCTCCTGCAGTCAGAAAAAACTCATTACCTAAATGTCACAACTCAATCAAAATCAGGTTTGATTGAGTGGTGAATCACCACAACCTTTACAACTCTGTTTTAACAAGGAATGAAACACTTATATTCATTATTTCTCCATTAATATGCAACACCTAATGAGGAAAGTTTATGTTTATGTGCTGACATAATCAAATTAACTACCAAATGAACTCCAACTTTTTTTTGTTGTTGGAAAACTTTAATTATTTTAGTAATTATATCGTATTTAGTGTACATAAATTGTACCAGCTTATTAGAAAAAGTGAAACAGTTTCTTAGAAATGGCCATGTTAGCATTTCATTGTAAACCACATCCTGCAGGCTTTTGGTAAAATACGAGGATGTATTGCGAAGCATGGATGCTTCTGAAAAGTGTATCATTAACTCCTGAGCTACACAGCAAAAATGCCAGTGTTAAATAAACTCTAGAGTAGAGTATACACTGCTCTGATGGAGTTTTGATCCCTGTTTAGGATCATTCAAACTATTGACACATAAAAACTGGGAAGTAATGCAGAACAGTTTAATGTGTAAGCACCTACATAAATTTGAGAAGCAGTTAGTTTATAGTGGACATATGTAAGGGAGATCTGTAAGGATCTTCTCAGAGAACATCATTCATCCCTGTGCTTCTAAATAGACATCACTGGATGTCCAGCCCCTCCACCCAAATCACTTAGCAACAGTGCCACACCCCATTTTGCATCATAGCTAATGTAATCGCACTGGTTTAGTTACTAAATAACATGGTGCAGGTGATTGTGGGCGGCGCCAGAGAAGTTCTGAGGTCAGCAGCACATTAGAGGCTCATGAAAGGCGACCGGCTGAGAGGCAAACCAGCCAACTGGGTCGCATCTGAAGGACAGCTTCAGCCTATCAGTAGAAAACGTATTATGCTCAGAGACAGAGTTTAACTGGAATGCAAGCAGTGCGCCTCTCACTTTAATCTTTCTCATCTCATCGTTCTGCTGGATGAGATGATGAGTCAGGGCGCCGTTGTCCTTAGACACGAACTCCAGAGCCTTTTCCAATTCATCCTGCAAAGCATAGCGGAACAAAACAAGTGAAAAACAAGCCTGACTTTCCTTTTCTCCCTCTCCTCTCTGTGCTCACAGCGGCACAGTGAGAAAAAAAACAGCCAGTTTATCCTCTGCTACCTCTTTCATTCGTCTCATTTCAGTTTAAAGCATTTTAAAAAGTGAATTTCTGGCTGAAACATATGTTACTGAAACTCAAACAGAATGCAGTCTGATGCTGCCCTTCATAAGTGTAACACCAGCCATAGTCAGAAATAAAAAGGTACTCAAATTTACATCGTCAGAATGTCAAAACCTTTCCTGACAGATAATAATGACAATTAGTGATCTGGTTCTTCATTGTTCCACCGTACAACATGAATATATGACTGGCAGTGCGTAAGACTGAAACAGATGTTCCCTCACCTTGCTGGCCGTTGCAGCCTCACCGATTGGCACACAGCTGTGCCCCCGATGTGTCTGTTCATCCCGACACACGACGCATATCAGCTGTCTATCCGTCTCACAGAACAACTTCATCTTCTCTTGGTGCTTGTGGCAGGTGCAGTGGTACCGCTCCGCTTTCAGTCTATCGGCCATGTTCCTTAGGGCCCGGTTAGTTTTGAACGCTCCAGATCCTAGCGGAGCTCGGCACTCGGGACATTTTGGGGTCATGCTGCTCCGACAGGTTTCTATGCACGAGCGACAAAAAATGTGATCGCAGGGCAGACTCACCGGGTCCCTAAAAAGACCTAAACATACACTGCAGTACAGTTCTTTGAACAAATCAGACTGAGCCATTTTGAGTTCGTTGTCTTCAGCACGGCGGTTGAGATGAGTTTCATTTTCTGTTCTCAGAAACTGACAGTGAAACGGAAGATAATGCAATATCCTGCCAGAACTTTAACTGCCAGAACAGAAATTTCCCGGGATAACTTTTCTGACGTGACGAAAGAACACGTCTTCATTTTCAGTTTCAATCAGGCGCAGGTCGTTGACACTATTATGCAAAAATATATTAGGATAATAAAGTAAAGCATAATACAGATAAACCGTGCATTAATGTATTGTCTTTCATCTGAAAATTGACGTTGACATTTACAAACATTTCTGTAAGCATATATATCGGAGACAAATTAATACTGGTATAACAACCTTTAGGCGAACATTCTCTCGACACACTGGGAAGACACGTTCTTTGGTGAATATTTACTTCTAACCTCTCACAATATAGACGATGTGAATGATGACAAACAAACAAAAGGCTTCTTGAATGCAGTCTACTGTGTTGGTCTAATTACAGCTACTAGTAATTTGAAAAGTAGATTATGGAGCAGGCGCTGCCCAGTCCTTTCTTTTCTCATTCCACATTAGAATCTTAATGTTACATATGAAAATTGTCATGGTAGCTCATCTGGAAAAATATCCAGACAAAATATCCAGCAAATACCAGCGAGTGCATTGTTCCGATGACAACTAACAGTTTTTGCATTGATAAAATGAATATAATATCCTATTTGTTATACGCCTTTTTACTGAAATAGTTTTCTGTGGCAGAATCAGCTTTTTTTTATTTTTTTATTTTTTTTTTTATAGCTAAATGTTCTCCCATCACTCTTATAGTAATGACAGCTGTATTTCTTATCACAATTTAAGACATGAATCAATTTTCGGCCAACAGCCAAAATAAGTTTCCTTCTGCATTTCAGTGTATTAAAATGAGAGTTTCTGTCCATAAGATTCTTTTTCGTGAATCTTGTCCCCTCCCACACCGCAAAGCAAACTGCTCCAGTTCGATCCAAGCTATAGGGTTCCACGTGTGACATTCTCAATGGGCCAGTAGGGTGCTGCTTCCCCTCCAAGCTAACTCTTTCCCTGCAGGACAACTCATTTAATGATGAACCATCCCCCACCCCACTGCCACAGCCTGGAAATCCTATCTCCTATGGAGTAGCTGGACCTCCTTGGGGTACATTAACTGTGCTGGAGTCCAAATTATTTTCCAGTCATTTAATTCTCTAACCACTGACTGGAAACCACTGACTCCTCCCTCCATGTCCATGTCAGCAGAACCTGCGGGATTGTATAGATGCATGGTTGAACTTTTCCACAAATTGAGGCGAGCTAAAAATCATACAGCATTCTGGCATTAACATGCCATTTTCCAGGATACAGCAACAGACATAATGAACCTTTCTGTTGTGCCAAGTTCACTGTAGACCAGGGGTGAAATCTGACTGTGTGCAATGTAGCACAAAACTGATTATGTTCAGCCACTTGGTTTAAGCAGGTGATGCTTCTTATGCCTCGTTGTACCCAGAGTGAGACGCCAAAGGAAGCGGTGGGGCACATTGTCTTTGCCTCATCAGTTCCGCCCTGCGCACTTCGCCTGCACTTCAGTCCCTCTCGCTGCAGCAGAGGCTCCTGTTTTTGTGAGTTGTGCAGTTAATATTCAGAGTCTTCATTTGCAAGGGCTTCTCTGCAGAGCGAATTGGGTTTTTCCTATTTTAGCTGGCGAAGAAGCACTTAGGAATGCCTTGCTTCCGGAACTGTCATGAGCAGCATGGCATCGTTATCGATTGACCCTTCCATCCGTCGACTATGCGCTGTTCATTAATATGCCATTATTCTTCATTCTCTGCCATCTTCACATAAACGAAAACACAATTTATCTGTTAAATAATGAGGTTCAGATGGACGGTGTGAGATAGTGCTATGATTGGTTACGCGTCTGTGTGGCCTGATCAGAACCACTGGCATTTAGGATGATGTTCTAGTGCTGAGAGACATTATGGGTGAGAACAGAGAGGGCAAAGGAAACCTCACTGACTCTCTTCTCTTGGGATTCATGTTCTCCCTCTGTCAGCAGACCCAGAATGAATCAACCCAACCACAGTCCTGCATCCTTGTTAATATTTTAAAATATGAAAATTGATCCAGGGTCATCTAAAAGGATCAGAATATACGTCAATATATTGCTGTGGGAATACTGGATTGATTATCAGCAGTGGTTTATTCCCACAAATATCGAGAGGAGTAAGAGCATTCCTCAACATGCCTTGGCTTGATCTTGGTGATATACATTTTTCTGAGGAAAAAAACACCCAAATCTCAAACAGCTCAGAGAAGTTTCCTTTTTCACTATGAGCGATTCCAGTAAAGTGCAGGTCTGTATAACTGGCCCAGAATCATGGGGCAGAAAAATTACACAGGAAGGGATTTACTGTACAGCTCTTTCATAGATGCCATAAACCTCCAGTCAGATGGGAGGCTCATGAATATATTTGGTGGGGTTGGGGGTGACAGTAGCCTGGGGACCGGGTTGGTGTACGTGATGTTGACGAGGTTTGCATGCTCATCTACGTGTGTATGAAGGGGGAGACTGGGCCTGGTGCTTATTGTGTTGACTAGAAAGTGCATGCTTGTGCATGTGTGTGTGTGTGTGTGGGGGGGGGGGTGGATTGGAAAGCACTGATTAATTTGCCTCAGCTTTCGTAATCAAATTCCCAATGGAGGTGGGAATGGCCAGCAAAGAGTCCCCATGGAAATCATATTTCCTTCTGCT